CAGGCCTTAAAATCGTACCGCTACATGCTTTTCTGTATGACAAAACGACACGGAACTTTCACCAAAACACAGATTTAATGCAGGAACCTGTGTCGACCATTCAAACGCGTGCACTGCCAATGGTCAGGAGTCGTTTGCCGGGTATTCGTGTCGAGTCTTGTTAAATAGATGTGACCAGGCAAGCTGGCGATCCAGGCACGTTCACACACGTCTAGCAGACGTCCCATTTCCTTTAAATGAGCGGGGGTCAAAGGTAATTAAACCCTTAATGCAGATGAACTTGGCGTTCAGTGTTAAATAAACCGAAAATACCACCCACCGGATGCAGTTTTAAGAGCTACGTCTGGCGTGCTAGGTGAGCATTGGTCGGGGGGTGGGGGGGAGGGGGGGGAGGTGGTGGGGGTGGGGTGGAGCTACTCTTGGTATTAAAAGTGTCACCATATGGTAAAGGTTCTAAACTTATAGCCTACGCAGGGAATCAAGAAAAATAATATTTCCTAAACCCTTGATATTGATGACTTATGATGCCTTCGGGGGGTGGGGGGGAGGGGGTGGAAGTGGTGGGGGTGGGGTGGAGCTACTCTTGGTATTAAAAGTGTCACCATATGGTAAAGGTTCTAAACTTATAGCCTACGCAGGGAATCAAGAAAAATAATATTTCCTAAACCCTTGATATTGATGGCTTATGATGCCCATAAAAATAGATTAATCCTTTACATGGCTGAACAACATCCGGTCCGCCAGCACCCAATTTTCGGCCCGCGAAGTAACGAAATATTCTTTCTTCTTATCATTATTTTCATAATAGCTTCTCTCCCCACTTTCCTATTATCTTTCGGCCGGCACAAGTTTTTCCTGAAGTATTATTGCTGCCTTACATTTTGAGTTTTGCAGAACTGTTCCATTATATTATAGCACGTCTAAAAGTGAAACTCTCTCTGACTTTACAGATGATCATCTATGGACTAAATAGTCATGAATTATATAAACAAAAACAACAACGGGAAACTACATTTTAGATTTCTTTGATGAATAAAATGCCGAGAACACAGTCCAGCTAAACGAGGTAGAGCCAACTCTTGAAATAGTTGTCTTCACTTGGAAGCAATGTCACGCCAATTTCATAGCGTGTTCACATAATTTCATTTCAGATGTCAATACAATTATGCTATTCAAAAATTGTCATGGTCACGTGTTCATTTTTCTGTAACTTTGCCATGGGCGTCTCATACTGGCTGATTTGGACGTTCGATCCTTAAAGATTTAATGGGGGTGCCTGCATGTTCATGAGAATTTTTTTTTTTTTACATCCATAATTTCTTTTATGGCTGGGGTGATCATAAACATTGAGACAAAAGTGCTGTATCAATAATTTCCTATAAGTTTTTTATGGTCGGGTGATCATAAAGCTTGAGAAAAACCAGCAGCTACTCTTTTAGTCTTGTTTAAAAATACTCAACAAAATAAAAAAAAAAAACAATAAAAACATTTTCTTCCGCATCAGGTAAACAAAAATGTAGCTAATATTAATAAAATAAATATAAAAACATTGCAACTGATATGCGCATTACTTACATTAAAAAAAAGAAATAAACTTAACGATTTTCAATAATTTAAACATGACCAATCAAGAACTTAAATATCACCAGTCAGGGAATGAACCTTTCGCCAACACACATTCTTCTTACAAAACAACCGAGCCACACAGTTATTATCACACGCCTGACGTCAATATGACATCATCAGGATCTCGTCTCGCGTCCTTGAACTTCCGACCACAAAGCTGTTGGCTCTATCATGGGTGAAGATCCTCCTGAGTTCTATACGGAATTTTTTCCCCGACAGAATGTAGATGAAAAAGTTGGACGCGTAATTGATGTTGGTCACAGCCTGAAATAATAGACATTCATCGTCGATAATGTTTTAAAAAGTACTATAAGTGACGTATGTCAGAACAACGTGAGACACTTAAACATAAAAAAACACAACCATACTGGCAACTGGCTGCCATAAAACGATCGACTTTTTAAGACCGCCTCTTAATTTGAGGTTATTGAAAGGTTCAAACCAGGCGCTTGCAGGCCCGTTCTTAGGCATAAGCTGACTACGCATCCGCGTAGTGCCCCGAATGTGAGGCGCCCTGGACCCCCCCCCCCCCCCGTTTTTTAAAAAAAA